AAAGGAAAATTGAAGTGCTTGTTAGCAGAAAAAGTCTGGATGTCAGGAGGACCAAAAAAAAACCACAAAAAACAAAAAAAACCCAACAGATGTCCAGCACAGATAAATTGACTTAACGTTAACAGCAGCGGGAGACTTCAGTCCAGGCAACAAAGCTCATCCTGGTAGTTGACAGCAGCCGGCCTGTGCTAATACTGTCACCTAGTGGCCACAGTGGAAATTGCAGTTTTCAGTATCTTGCTCTTGCCAGCCTCCCTCCCTCCATGCTGCTTGCTCTCCCTCCCCGCCTTCCCCGCGACCCCAGACTATCTTGACTAATTCATCATCTCTGGGGACCAGTCCCTGACCTCTATGCTGGCCAGGATTGAGCCCCAGAGCTGGGGACCTGGGAAGCTATACATCTCAGACCCCATCCCCTCTCTATCACTTTCCCTGTTTTCATCCTCATTCTTGAAATATTTTCCCCTCTCTTTTTTAAACTATTCATTCAACAAATGTTTATCGGAGCAACACCAATATGTGGGAATCAGCGCGAGATTCTCTGAGTCTGCTGTAGATTCAGTGCATGGCTTTCTCCTCTTCCAAGACCCCCTTATATCATATTGCCCAAATAACTCTGAAGAGAGATGTCCATACACATGTCAAAGTACATATGAGGTCACCATTAATTTTACTTCAGTAAAGCTGTCAGGAAAATTGTTGGGTTGTGTTATGTCCCCCTCAAAGATGTGGAGGTTTTAACCCGCAGTATCTGTCAAGGTGACCTTATCTGGAAATAGAGTCTTTGCAGATGATCAAGTTAGGGTGAGGTCATTCGGGTGGACTTTAATCTAATAGGACTGCATACTTACAAGAGAAGGGTGTGGGAGAATTTGGACACAGAGACAGACAAGTACAGAGGGAAGATGATGTGAAGACACTGGGAGAACGCCACCTACAAGCCGAGGAATGCCTGAGGCCGTGAGAAGCTAGGAGATTGGACGGAGCAGATCTCCCTCACAGCCCTCAAAGAGCCAATCCTGCGGACACCTTGATTTCAGACTTCTGGCCTCCAGAACTGTGAGACAGTACATTCCTGTTGCTCAAGCCACCCCGTCTGTGGTACCTTATTACTGCAGCCCTAGCAAACCAGGACAGGTGGCAAGACGGCAGAAGGAATGACCTGAGGACAGACAGAAGTTACTGAAACGCCAAGGAAACTTTTAAAAAGGAAAATACTTAACATCAAAAATAGAATTTCCCTATAAACCTGTACTAATAAGGGATGAATATTTGATATTTTTATTCTAGTCTTTTCTTCAGTGCTTATCTCAGTGAGGATCTATGTGTGTGTGTGTATTCTATTCTCTCTCTTTACCTACGCACACAGACATTTGAAATTCAAATTCAATCAATAGGCTAAGAATGCCTCTATAGTCCTCTTTCATTGTGTATATGAAAGACATACAAAATGGAAAAACCATCCATTTTACTTTTTCATAGAAAAATTATATAGATGCACAAGCAAAGGTCCCTCTTCCTCCTAAACATTCTCATATCCCATGGATTACCACTGTTACATTTTCGAGCATATGCTTCTAAATTTTATCTAAATTTATACAGTCATATCTATTTAAATGTGCCTATCTTTATGTAAACATGTATATGTAAAAGAATTATGCTTTATATATCTGTTTGCCTTTTGTTTTATTTCATTTAAGATATATCCTAGGCATTTTTTATTACAACATATAAATAACCTGATTCATTCTTAGTGCCCGCACAGCATTCCATTGTGCATGCACCATAATTTATCCAATTTTTCCCGACCAATGTCCATTTAGGTCGTTTCCTTTCTTTCTATTATAAACCATGCTGTGATGAACATCCTTATAAAAGTATCTTTGTAAATGTAACTGGTATGCTGAAAAACCACATCTTGAGAAATAATTTTTAAAAGCATATTTTAGTCTTCCACTACTCTTTAAATTTATTTTGAAGGAAGCTCCCACTGAATAAAAATTCAGCAGGACCCATTATTTTTATGCCTACTCTTAGGTAATAGGCAGACCTACACTCATGTACCATAAACACTGTATCTATTTAGTAATTAGAATGCAAAGACCGGGCTGGCCCTGTGGCTTAGCGGTTAAGTGTGGGCGCTCTGCTACTGGCGGACCGGGTTCGGATCCCGGGCGTGCACCGACGCACCACTTCTCTGGCCATGCTGAGGCCGCGTCCCACATACAGCAACTAGAAGGATGTGCAACTATGACATACAACTATCTACTGGGGCTTTGGCGGGGTGGGGAAAAAAAGGAGGAGGATTGGCAAAAGAGGAGGATTAGCACAGATGTTAGCTCAGGGCTGATCTTCCTCACAAAAAAAAAAAAAGAATGCAAAGACCTAGATATTAACTCTATAATCTTCATTCTGGGTGAATGAATGATGATAACTTCATCTCTATAATCTTCAATTCAAATCTTCATTCTCTTCCCCCTCTGGTTGAAAAAGAAATGCCAGGAAGAGAGGGCAGGGCACAATATACAATGCCCTCCTATCATGTTATGTAAAAATGCATATCGTTCCCGGGTTATGGAGTAGCTGAGCCATGCACACACTTATTTATATAAACACCTTGCCTAAAAGCAGAGCCTGAGCCAGGATTCAGGTGCAAGTAGTTTATCTGGGAGGCGATTCTAGGAAGTAGGGATGAGGGAATGGAAAGAATGAGAGAAAGGAGGAGGAAAGCCAGCATAAGGGAGTGTTATTAGGGCCACTGACGTCAACACTAGGGATCTGATTGTGCCAGGACCTCTGTAAAGCATACAGAACATGTTCTGAAGGACTGGAGGCTACGGCATTTATTTTCATTGTGTTTCCTGGTGGAACTGTCCACCGTTCCCTCCAACACTCAAGATCTCTATCCCACCTGAGTCTGAAGTTGTCGGAGAGGGAGGGACAGATCCTGGAAGTGGGAGTGACAGTCAGAGAGGCCAATCCTACCGTCATCCCTTCGTTCATTCGCTATTGGGGATACATCATCCCATACTGCCACTGGTTCAACGCATATGCCACATCCTGGCAGACAGCACCCAAACCCTCAGGGTATTGTTCCAAAACTTCTGCCTCAGCTGAGCCTTTAATAAGCCATGCTACAGTTCTGTCAGGCTGGCTGCTTCAGACTGATGCCATATATGGTGGGACTAGCGGATCTCATGGTCACGTGCCCGTTGTCACACCTCCTGCTATAAAATGGGTCCCTTGGTCTGAAGTGATATTACGCAGGGTCTCATGTCAGTAAGTCAGGTGTTTTGTAAGTCCTCAAATAGCGAGAGATCCATGGTGGTCAAGAAAGCAAAGCCACATCCAAAGCCCATGTCACTTTTGGCAACGGTGAATCCCTGCCTCAACCAGGGTTCAAGGGGTCTAAGATCAACTTTCCACCAAGAAGCCGGTTGTTCCTCTCAATGGGTGGTACCTTATCAAGGGCCCAGTGTTGATCCCTGGGATGGCAAGTGAGACGTGCAGCAGCAGCAGTAGCTAGATCAGCCTTGATGAGCAGTGGCCCTGTGCTGTGGGCTCATGCATAACCTCTATCCTTGTCATAACGGCTACTCCATGAATGGGCTTATTGTACAAGCACTGATGTGAACGAAGACATCCACAGACTAATAATTCTGTCCACCTGCTCGATGTTCTTTGATGAGCACTGAAATGAAACACTGTGGGAGGCGGAATGCTCAGGTGGCCCCTCAAGAGCCCAGGCCCCTGTGTACACACACCTTGCTTCAGTTATGCAATCAAACACTAATCTAGGTACCGCTGTGAAGGGACTTTGCAGATGTAATTAAGGTCCCAAGTAAAATGACCTTAAGATAGGGAGATTATCCTGATAGGCCTGACCTAATCATATCAATCCTTTAAAAGCAGTTTTCTCCAGCTAGTCACAAAAAAGGAAGTCAGACATGCTCCTGCTGGCCTGGAAGAAAATGACACTCGTGTTATATGGACTGCCTATGGGGGCCATGTGGTAAGGAGCTGAGAGCGGTACCTGCTTGACATAATAGCAGGAAAATGGGGACCCCGGTCCTACAACCACAAGGAAATGAATCCTGCCAGTGGGCTTGGAAGAGAACCCCAAGTACCAGATGAGAACCACAGCCCCAGATGACACCTTGATTTCAACCCAGAGCAGAAAATCTAGCCATACCATGTACAGACTTCTAACCTACAAAAGTGACAGGATAATACATTTGTGTTGTTTTAAGCCACTAAATCTGTGGTAATTTTTTACACAGTCATAGAAAACTAATACAAACACAAAGATCTTCACAGTTTGTGTCCACTCCCATAAGTTCTTCTACACGAATTTTCCTTGGATATTCTTGCCTCCACCCAATCCTCCAATCCTGCTCGTTCCAAGCCACTGATAAGTCAGGCAACACGTGCAACTCCCCCCTGACAGACTTCCTTTCATCATGAACTCTTGGATAGATAATGTTTGAATTCTACAACGCTTTTATACATTCAGAATATTTATATGGATTCACCAAAATAGGTGAAGGCTTTACTGTCTTGATTACATTCTTCTGATTGGTCCCCTGTAAAATCTCAGATATGTACAAATCTTTCTCACATTTAAAATGTTCACAGGGATTGTTCCCCAGTGTGTTTTCTGATGCTGAGTGGGAAAAACAGTCGAAAGAATAAGATATGCAGCTCTGGTGTTGATAAGAGAAGTTTAGGAGAAAGATAAGGATTTTGGAATCCTTAGCACTTTGGTGGACATTTCATACAGTCTGTCATCTTCTAGTCTTCGGTGAAATTAACATGCAGCTTTTCTTTTTGTATTAATCGTTCATAGCAATCAACCAAGCCCCGTAATTAAAGCATAAGCTCGTCGAAGGATCCCTGGGCTAACGGCGCGGCCGCGAGGCCTTCTGGGGAATGTAGTCTGGAAAGGCATCCACCGCCCCTGGGGGAATCCTGGGAAGGAGGGCCCGGCGCCTCTTCTGCGCATGTGCCCGCCGGTTTTCTACCTGAGCGCTGTTTCCGGTTTTCTACCTGGGCGCTATTTCCGGTTTTCTACCTGGGCGCTGTTTCCGGTTCTCCAGGCTTTTCCGGGGGAGGGTCCTGCAGCGGCCGAATCACATCCTTCTTCCATCAGCCGCGCCCGGTGCGAACTGCAAGCGAAGCGCGTGCACGCACACGTTAGAGGAAGCGCTGGCGGGGAGCTCCGAGCCCCCCGGGGCCGGAGGGAGGGGCGGGGCTGGGCGGAGCTGGCCTCGGTCCGCGGAGAGTGGACGCGGGCTGTCCCCGCATCCCGCTGGAGGGAAGGCCTGAAGCGGGTTTGCGATGGTCTCGAGGGCGAGGCGGGCTCCTGACCTGCCGGCCTCAGGGTGGGCTTTCTGCGTGGCCTTTATTGCCTGAAGAAGGTGCTCTGTGAAGGTTTGTGCAGCCAAATGGCTAAAATCTGATTCTAGAAGCTCCGCGGATGCACTCGGAGCTGCAGCCTGCGGAGCTGGGCTGAAAAGTGCTGGAGAGCAGCAGGAAAGGGAGTAAATATTTATTATGAGAGTTAAATGTTATTAGCATTATATTAGTCATTTTATGCTAAGTACTTATTAGAAGAAAGATGTGAACTGCAATTGAAGGGAATGGCCAGGGTGCAGATTTGACTGAAAAGATTTCAGTTAAGGGCTGGGGGGTGGGGGGTGGGGCGGAGATGTCTGCAGCGTTGCATGGAGTTTTAAGAGCTTGATGTTTGGGTTCAGATCAGGTCCTGCCACGAAACAGCACTGCATCCCTGGGCATGTTACTTAGACTAATCCTGTTTTCTCATCTGTAAAATGAGCGTAGGAATAATATTTGCCTCATAGCGTTGTTCTAAGGTGAAACGAGATAGCACTGGTGAAGGTCAAGCCCAGAATATATGCCCTCGATAAATATTCCCTGCTGTCAATGTTACAAAGATTTTTAGATATCTCTCTAAGTTCTCCCAACCAGGCTGTGAGGTCGGCATTACCACCCCATTGGAGCACATTTAAAAACCTCATTTGCAGAGAGCTAAAGTGCTTTACTCACTGGTGAATGAGTTGAGTTTTAAAACGAGGCCTATTCACTCCTAGTCTCACGATCTTTGTAATATACATTTGCCTCTAACTACACCCATTGGGTTTTCTTGCACAATGACTTGCCCTCTGTGTGCCTTAGGCAGCAGTTATGCTATATGTTTTGGTAATCAAACCATTTGATCTCTTTTGCTTAGGTCACAAGGCATAATTGAAGCTTCTAGGCTCTTCCTGCCTCCTGCACTATTGTCTTACACTTCTGCAGCCCTGATTAGATTTTAGAAAAGGTCCAGATCACCAGACACTTGAACCTTAGGGCTCCAAGTGCAGGTTCTGCTAATGGAAATGTGGCTTCTGGGCCCAGACTGAAACAAAACTATTCCAGTAAAGTAAAAAGCAGAAGGCCCCAGGAACACAAATCACACTTGGAAGAACATACTCCTGAGCTGAAACCTCTCCCTAGAATTTCAGTGTGGAAGCAGAAAAATCCCTGAAAGGAACATATTGAAGAGTTACTGGACCAGAATTTTCCTCTCCAGTGTGAGCAAAGTCTGGGTGATAACACCATATTCAAAGACCGTTGATTATTGTGGCTCAGCAAAGCTTCAGTTCAACTTTCAGAAGATGTGAGCTGCAATTGAAGGGAACGGGTAGGGTGCAGATTTGACAGGAAAAGACACTTCATTGGAGGATTTGTGAGCGTGTGGGTTGGAGGGAAGGGATCCCAGCTGTAGCTTAGAAAATCATTCCTCGTCACTTCCTAAACACATACATGTCATTGCCCACAATCTCCACTCGGTCTTTCTGTTTATTCTGAGCTGCTCAAATCATGTCCATCACCACACCTGAGATTCATGGACTGTTCCCCTTATAGAATCACACAGTAGAGGTAAAAAGAAGGTTTTTAAAAGTATTATTTTTGCCTTATTTTAAAATTAGGACTCAGAAGGTAAATAGCTTGTCCTGTCCTGTAGTTTGCTAGTGAGAGAGCCAGAACTGAATTCAGGTCTCTTGATTGCCAGGCCCGGGCTTGGTCCTCTACCACATTTGAGTTAAAATGTTTCTGAGCAAAAGATCCTCTTGTGAAATTGCAATTAAAGGAGACCAAACAAAAGGAAAACATCTTGAAGCACTTGTATTCCTTGCTTCTGAGCTTTTCCTGGATTCTCTGATCTCAAGTGGCTAAAAAATATTATAGGAAAATAGATAAATGACGTAATAGCAACATTTTCCCATGCCAATAAATATTTTAATCCTGGAATCAGTTTGAATGCTGGGATAGTGTTCCAACTTTGTATATACTAAATTTTGTTGACCCAATCTCCTATTATTGGACTCAGACTATTTTTAATTATTTCTTTTTTTGGTGAGGAAGATCAGCCCTGAGCTAACATCTGTTGCCAATCCTCCCCTTTTTGCTGAGGAATAGTGGCCCTGGGCTAACATCTGTGCCCATCTTCCTCTACTTTATATGGGATGCTGCCACAGCATGGCTTGACAAGCAGTGAGTCGGTGTGCACCCAGGATCCGAACCTGCGACCCCAGGCTGCCGAAACGGAGTGTGGGCACTTACCCGCTGCGCCACTGCGCCAGCCCCTACTTTTAATTTTTTCAAGGCATACATATTGACAGTAATTCCGTAGAAAACAATTATTTATATTCATACGTTCACTATGAAAAGTTCTGTGTGATCATTTCAGAATTGTAAATGGAGAAGTGGATATTCCCTCAACACGTTTCCTGTAGCTTCCTGTAGCGCACTGGTCAGGGCCATTCTCCTAGTGGGTAAGAGCTGTTGTGTTAGCCGCACGTCTCATGATTCCATTCCTCTTTCTTCCTTACCCGCTCTGGTGTCAACCTGCTATCAACACTCGGCGCTTTCTCAAGAGCATCTGAAAATGAACAAATTCCAGGTAAGTTGTTTAGAGATTTACTTCCCACATTTTTTAGTGGATTTCAGAGTCTTGTAGCAGTTTGTACATTCAGATGAAAGAGTAGAAATACGTAAAATTCAGCATCAAAGAAAAGAGTATCAGATCAACACTGGAAAAGTTGACATAAATATACAGAAATCAGTTCCTGTAACTTATTCAAATTGTGCGAGAAAGGCCCAGACAATATAAGATAGGTCTTACATTAGCTATTAGTGTGGTTTTCCTGTCATTTATATCTAAACATTTCCTTAGATAATCTTTGAATAAGTGACACAGAGGCCAGTCTTGCCAAAAATAGCTGTGAAAGAAATGCAGTGGGGTTCCTGTGACTTGTACAGCCAGGCAAAGCACAGTATTTGGAGGAGACCAATTCACTGTCATCCGAGTAGACAGCATTCGGATTCCAGGGATGAAACCTGGAAAAATGGGTTGCATGTTCCTGAAATAATGCCCTATAACTATTTCTTCCAGCTATACTTTTAAAACAGGTTGTACAGGGAACAATTCAATGTTACAAACCTCCTCACCTGCTTATCTCATTTCAAATCGCTTCATGCAGTCTTGTGTCTGCCCCTACCACTCCCATGGATCTGTTCTGGTCGAGTGGCCTAAATATTTTCAAACCCAGTGGCTATTTTCCAGTCCGTGCTTTCCTAACCTCTTTGTTACAGTCGACAGTGTGAGCACCCCCGCATTGAAATGCACCTCTGATAATCTCTGTGATGCCACCCACGTGATTCTCTTCTTAGCTCTCTAATCATTCCTTATTTATATCTTTTATAGAATCTTCTTCCCTACCTCGTTAGCCCATCATTCTTCTTGATATTTTTCATTCCCTTTGTGGTTTTATCTTGCAACTGTTTGTGCTCTGAATTTTTTTTCCACCTCCAAGCACCTCAGCTTGAGATCCTTGCTGAACATCTCTACACGGGTGTCCAAAAGGCTGTTGGAATCCTCACGTCCAAGAGGGAAATAATAGTTCCAGTCTTCTCAGTTTGCTTCTTGCTCTTTATTCCCTATCAGTGCTACTACTGTCTGGCTGGTTATGCAAGCCAGAAAATGAGGTCCATCTTAAGCTCTCCTTTTCCTCACCACCTATCATATCCAGTTGTCAAATTTTGTAAATGTTGTCTTATAAACATTTTTTGGATTTGGTCTTTCCCCTCCATCCCTAATTCCCCTGCCTCAGTTTCTCTCTCCTGGATTATCATAATAGCTTTCTCAGTAGTCTGCCTGACTCCTTTCCCTTCCCATCTGAACACTTGTTCATACTGAGTGATCCCTCTAAAATGCCAGTCGGATTATGTCTCTTAATATAGAAATTACTTCAGTGGCTCCACACCACTTACAGGATAAAAGCTCGGTCTCATTGGTGTAACCTGTAAGGCTATTCATGTAGTGAACATTTCCTACTTCTTTTTAATTCCTACCACTCTGGACCTTTCATTCAACAGCTATATATTGATTAAACTAATATAGGCCACATGTCTAGCACTGCTAGATGCTCTTGATACAGCTTGAACAAAAGAGGTGGTGTCTCTGTCTTCATGGAGCTCACAAGCTAGTGAAGGAGATCGATATTACACAAACGACACGAACGATAGTGAGGTGGCTCTCAACTCCGTCAGACCCAACATCCATTTATATAACGTATTTTGTACAAGCTATATTAGGACGCAAACCTTCTCACATTAAACTATCTCCTTTATCTTCCTTAGTCGATGCCCCACCCACACTGTGCTGCCCCTCCTCTCTCAGACTTGGATGAAACAACACACCATGAAGTGTGGTATCTGGCTTCCTGAGGGACCAGATACTAGAACCAAATGATGCAACCTGGAAGTGTGGGCAGGTGAACTCACCTTGGGGTGAGCCTTGACTGAAGGGAGATGGGAAATGAGAGGGACGTGGATAGATTAACGCCCCCTCCTTTCACTCTTCCATTCCAAGGTCAGTGTCTCCTTGTGGTCCTTCTGGAGAAGTCCCACATGTTGACGGAATGCTCCTGCTGCCTCCCCCTGGGGCTTGTGGTGAAGTGGTGGGCAGTGAGCTACCACCTCTCACGCCTCACTGCTTATAGCCTTCTTTCCTCACTTCCTTTCCCCCCTCACTGCCCTGGCTCAGACCTCCCAGATGAAGTGATAGCACCTGAGTTCTTACCTTAGTCAGGCTCTATTTTCCAGAGACCACAGCTAAAACCCATCCTCCCTTTATTGTATTTTGCAAATCATAGATAATATAACCTGTTTCTGTAATTTAAAAAAATCAATAAAATTCTCTAACATAAAGGAGAAATAAAAGCAGATTAATTGAAAATGAAATAGTATGTATTTTAACATGCATCACTCAGATACAACTATACTGAAAGTCAAAAAAGTAAAAGTCTGTTTATACCTGTAGGTTAAATCACTGTGAATGTGACAGTTGCAGATTCACGCTGATATAGGTGTGATGTTTCATGATTCTAATACCATGAGCAGCATTGCCATTAGTGATATTTTTCAAAAGAGTGAAAATCCCTGAAGTTCCAATCCAGACCAAATAGGGTGTTCCCGTTATGTGCTTGGTATTACATTCCAGGAAAATTTTGAGTACATAAGAAAATGTGTAAAAGTACTATGTGTTCAAATGCAAAATGGAATAAGATAATAGGCTCAAATCATTGTAAGCAGAATTTTTCATCTCTGTGACTAGGATATTAGAAAGCTGTACAGGACTTGGGGCATTTCTTTCCCGTATAGGACTGTCCTGCACATTGCAGGCTATCTACCATCCCTTGTTCCCCCTCCCTCCACCAAATGCCAACAGCATCCCACAGAACTTTGACAACCAAAAATGTCTCCACAGGTGTGCAGTTACCCCTAGCGGAAAGTGTCACCCATGCCGAGATCCACTGCAGAGGGACGATAACTTGCATTTCATTTCCTGAACATGCCCCAAGTTTTACACTCCTGTTTTAACCAGGTTTTCATTAATTGCTCCTTGACTACACCTTTTATCTTCACATTGATCTTCCTGCCCTTTTGTCTTTGTCCACCCGGCTGTGTGCTTGCATAGCGTTGCAGGCTGTCTCCATCTCTGCATTACGTGTGGGGCCTAGGCATTATCTGTGTGTCCACCTCACAAGTAACACTAAGCCTTCAGAGGTGTGAGCACATATGTATACAGCTCTCTGTCCTCTTGTGTGTCACCCTATGCTGCTCATGGTGGTGCCCATCAATTTTTTGTGGGTGGACTTGTTTTATATGAATCTGGGAACTATTCTCTGCTCTGAATGGATAATCATCCTGCTTACCAAATTGCTTATAGAGTCGACCTAAGTCACCAGGTAAATTGGGTTTCTTGTTCTTTTGTTATAAATGCCATTCAATTTCTTACAAAGTGAGCACATCACTCTTATTTTGGACCCATTAGGTGCAACTGGCTCTGCCTTAGTGAGTAGAGGACGCCCTAGGGAAGGCTCTCCACTTGTCTGGCTCGCTCTCTCACTGGCCTGTTCTAATATTTTTGCCAGTCATTCTTTCTAGTCATTAAGACCTTATATGTCCAATGTTATGCCTCTAATTATAAAATAACTGCTTATCTTCAGGAAGGTTACAACTCCTTAGGAGGAAGTATTCATGGAGGAAATAATATGGATGATGTGACCACTTACAGTTTATGTGTAGGATGCAGTTAAGCGGTGATAGAAGGAAGGATGTGATTAAATTATCTGACAATGTGTTGGCATGAAAATGTATAGTGGGAACGAGGGAAAGACCGGGGTGAAGCATCTGGCGGTCCTGAGGCATGCCTGGTACACAGGTGTCTGCAGCGGCGGAGAAGGCAGTCCTTTTCTTGCTGCTTTATTCTGAAATAATTTTAGACTTACAAAAGAATTAGAAAAATTATACACAAAGTATGAGTACCCTTCACCTAGCTTTGAAAACCATAGAATATTGATCAAAACCAAGGAATTGACATTAATACAATACTGTTATCCATCTTATTCAAATTTTGCCAGTTGTCCCACTAATGTCTTTTGCAGTCCAGGGATCCACCAGGATCCCACAATGCATTTGGTTGTCATGTCTCCTCAGGCTCCTGCAATCTGGGACGGTTTGTGTCTCTCGTGACCTTGACCCTTGACTGGCCAGTTGCTTTGTTGGGTTACTTCTAGCCTTCCCTTTTCCTCATTTATAACTCCTGTCTGACAAGGAGAAACCTGGCTCTCCTGATCTACATTATGTTTACTTATTTGCTCATCCAGGTAGACACCTGAAGTTCTTTGAGAATTGCTGATCCACACCCCACGTGAAGAACAAATCTCCCAGCTAGAGGATCATCATGTGCAGTTCTCATCGTTAGCCTTACAGAATGTAGTCTCAATACTCTTCTCCAAAGTGGCTTTGGTCAGTTCTTTTCTTCCTCATCCCCTTCACTGTAGCTATGTTGTTTAATTTATTACAGTTAGGTTTGTTTGTTACTATTTGTATTCTGTTTGGGGTTCCACTTGCTCATCCTGGTTGATTTTAGGTGTTTATTTTGGGGGTATGTGACACTACCAAGTTCTAAGAATCAGACTGTACAGAAAAGATATCCTTAGAGAAGTGTCTCTTCCCCCATCCCTTCTACCCCATTCTCATCACCCATTCTCTCATCTATTCTCCATCCCCTGAAGGGAACCAATTTCATTGGTTTCTGATTTATCCTTTCTGCATTTCTTTTTGTACACATGAGTGGTTGCATGCATATTTTCTTATATCTCCTTCTTTCCTACATAAAAGCTGGCATACTATAGGTATTATTTTGCGCTTTGCTTTTTTCACTTAAATTTCACAAATATAGCTGGAAAATCACTCCATATTGGTTCATCGAGATCTTCCTCGTTATTTACACCTTCAAATACTGCTTTTGGTCACCACTCTCTCTTCTCTGTCCTCTGAGCTTCAGAACCAAGTATCCAACTGCAACCTTGACATGTCTGCTTGTATGCTCCACAGACTCAAGTGCAGCATCCTAAAGAGAAATGCGTTAGCTTCCTACGCTCAATTCCTAATCTCAGTATTTGCACAGGTACTACCAGCTGATCATGCAAGCTAATCTGACGTCACATCTGCCGTGCACAACCGATTAGTGCCCAACTCCTCCTGCTCTTCCTCCCGTGGGAGTGATTCCCTCCTTCTCATCCCTTCTGGAACTACCTGTGGTCGCATCTCACAGTGGTGTCCTAGTTTTCTTCCCCTCTAATTTGACCTTTAAACCATTTCCCATTTTTCTAGAGTTAGGGACAGCAAAACTTTTCTTTAAAGGACCAGATAATAATTACTTTTGGCTTTGCTGGCCATATGGTCTCTGTCAAATGTACTCAACACAGCTGCTGTAGTGTGAAAGGAGTGTAGATAATGTGTAAAGGAATGAGCTGGCCGGCTTTGGCTCCCAGGGGGCTGGATTTGGCCCACAGGCTGTAGTTTGCCAACCCCTAGGCTCTAGAGCGTTGCTTCTAAGATACAAATTTTGTTACATTACTTCAGTCCTTGCTAACAAATATCTCATTATGGATTTCCATTATTCACAATAGTGGTTTCCAGAGTGGAGGATAGGGGCGCCCCAAGGATCCGCTGGGCTTCTGTTCACCTGGGATTAAACATTCTTTCAGAGATCAGTTTCCTTCAATGACCTGACTGTGGACTTCACCCAGGCTGAGGGGCAGCAGCTGGACCCCCCTCAGAGGCTCCTGTACAGGGACGTGATGCTGGAGAACTACAGTAACCTAGTCTCGGTGGGTAAGTACAGCTTCCCTGTGTAACTCCCTAGAGTGTGCATTTGCTGTGTCACAAAAACATGTTGAATTTAATTATTTAGGCTTGAATCAGAGGAGGAAGACGATTTAGGCAGTGGACATGTGCGTGTGTGTGTGTGTGTTGTGTGTGTACTCAGTGCCCCCCCTCCTGTCCCCCAGTATTCTAGCTTTACTGATCAATTGCAGGACATCTTCATTGCACAGCTTCTGAAGCTGTACTTTCTTTGTCCTTCAGAGTCCCTGAAGTCCAAAGAGCTTGGTCCCAGTTCTGTATCCTTTCCTGTTAACAGGGTATCACGTTAGCAAACCAGATGTGCTCTTCAAATCGGAGCGAGGAGAAGAGCTGTGGACAGTGGAGGGATTCCCACATCGGAACCACCCAGCTGAGTGGTAACTGTACGTGATGACTGAGCAGGTGGGAGCCTGTGGAAACGAGAGTCCCAAGGCGGTTAGTGATCGTAGTTGGCATCTGTGTACTGTTTCTCAGGAATCTCTTTTTATAGGCTCCAAACCTTTGGAGGTCATTGAGGACAATTAACTGTCATGCTATAGATACCTAAAACATTATTCCCGAATAAATGTACTCCTTCTTTAATTGAAATTTATAAAGATTTTGCCACTAAGTTATCTGTCCCTAGATTCCAGTCCTTCTTTTATCACACCTTGAACTTTATTTCTGTGGCATTCTCTGTTGCCTACCTGCCCACCCACCCCCATTGTCATAGACTGGTTGTATAGTCAGACATCCATAGATCTATCTTAAAAAAATAAATCTTGCTTGATTTGCATGATTTGCATGTCTAGTTACCTTGTGTTTTTTTCTCCATCCTTTAACTGAGAAATTACTCAGTTTCACTTTACATTCTCAGCCCTGCCAGGGCAGGGACTCAAGCGAGGCAAACAGGGCACCTCGGGCACAAAACTTAAGAAGACGCTTACTCTCAAGGTCATGCAGATGCCCTAGAGGTCGTGCTGGCCTCACCCTAGTCCCCACCCTGCTCGGCCCACATTCTCCTTTTTATTTGTGCAAATTCCAGAGTTCCCATACCACTGCCGAAATGTCAGATTCACCCCTCCTTCTTGTTCTTTATAATACCGACCATCTCTCTGAAGTCTCTTTCTCCTGGTCTCACTGTCGTTCTCTAAGTGCCTACTTGACTCCTGTCTGGCTTATTCAATACTCTGTCAGCCACACTTGCAGATACTCTGTGCTTACTGTTCCCCAGGACTATTTTACTTTTTCTGTGTCAGAGGTACTTGTATTCTTTGCTGGTTTCCCCTTCCTTTCACCCTGTCAAACAGGCTGGTGTGGGTGGGCTTGCTTTTTTTCTATTTTTTGTTATTTGTTTTCCCCCACATCAACCAAGTAGGAGATGTTTGCACTTGAAATTTCCTTAAGCCTGAGAGGCTGGGCCTGAAGTCCAGTCCCCCACAACAAGGCATTTGGAAGGAATTCTCATTTCATAGCAAATGTGTAAAGGCTTGTAAGTTATTGTTAATTGTGCTTCTTCCTAGGTGTTGATGATGCCTCAGAGAAAGACAAGGAAATCCAAGGCAGACATTTGAGGCACATTGTTTTCTTCAACAGTAAAACACTGGTTACAGAGAGGGCTGATGTATTTGGGAAAACATTTAGTATGGGCACAAATATTGTTCCCTCAAGAAAAACACAGTACAACTATAATCCATGTGGAAACAATGTGAAAACTAATTCAGAGGTAATTGTTGCAAAGAAAAGCTGTTTTAAAAAGGTTCCTGATGAATACAGTGGAGGTGGAAAACCACTACTCCACTCTAAGCATGAGAAAAGTCATTCTGGAATAAAAAAATACAAATATAATCCAATTTGGAAAGCCAGAAGTCAAAATGAATATCTTATTCTGCACCAGAACATTCAGACTTTGAAACAACTTTTTGACTATAATAAATGTGGGAAAACTTTCTTCAAAAGGGCAGTCATCATTACACAGAAGAGGGTACATGCTTACAGGAAACTAAATGAATGTAATGAATGTAGGAAAACCTTTTCTAAGAAGTCCACTCTCATGGTACATCAGAGAATTCATACAAGGGAGAAACCCTATGTTTGTAATGACTGTAGGAAAACCTTCTGTGTAAAGACAAACCTCACTCGATACCAAAGAATTCATACTGGAGAGAGACCCTATGAATGCAGTGAATGTGGGAAAACCTTCACTGACAAATCAGCCCTCATTGTACATCAGAAAATTCACAGAGGGGAGAAATCCTATGAGTGTAAGGAATGTGGAAAGACCTTTCAAAAGTCAGCCCTCACTGAATATTTCAGGTCACACACAGGGGAGAAACCTTATGACTGCAAGGAATGTGGGAACGCCTTCAGCAAGAAATCTTGCCTTGCTGTTCACCAAAGAACTCATGGAGGAGAGAAACCCAGTGAACGTAAGGAATGTGGGAAAACCTTCTTCTGTCAGTCAGCCCTTACTGCACATCAGAGAATTTGCACAGAAGAGAAACCCTATGAATGTTGTGAATGTGGGAAAACCTGTCAGTCAGCCTTCAGTGTGCATCAGAGAACTCATACGGGAGAGAAACCCTATGAATGCAGTCAATGTGGGAAATTTTTATGTACTAAATTGACCCTCATTGCGTATCAGATAACTCATAGAGGAAAGGAATTTTATGTATGTAATGAATGTGGGAAATCCTTTTGCCATAAGTCAACACTCTCTATATACATCAAAGCTCACACAGGAGAGAAACACAATGTGTTTAAGAAATGTGGTAGAACATTCATTATGAGGTCAGACCACAATGAACATAAGAGAATTCACACAAAGGAGAATCTTTATGAGTGTAATGAACGTGGGCATGCCATCAGCAAAAGCTCACACCTTGTTGAACATCAGAAAACTATAGGGGAGAGACCATATGAATATAACGAATGTGGGAGAACCTACTGCCGGAAGTCAGCCGTCACTCACCACCAGAGAACGCATACAGAAGAGAGACCCTATGGGTGTAATGAATGTGGGAACACCTTCTGCCAAAAGTTCTCCTTCATTGAACATCAGCGAACTCACACTGGGGAGAAACCGTATGAATGTAATGGATGTGGGAAATCCTTCTGCCGTAAGTCAGCCTTCAGGGTACACTGGAGAATTCACACAGGAGAGAAACCCTGTGAATGTAGTGAATGTGGGAAAACCTACTGTCAGCTGTGGACTTTCACTGAACATCAGAAAATACACACGGGGAGAAACCCTATGAGTGTAACAAATGTGAGAAGACATTTCACCACAAATCAAACTTCCTTTTACATCAGACAACTCATAAGGAGTGAATTCCAAGAAAGCAGTGACCCACAAAGCAGCAATTCAAATAATTTACACAATGCTAAAACCCTACGAATATGCATAGACGAATGAAATCTTATAAATGTAATTAATGTGAGAAATGTTTCTGCCTAAATAAACCCTCACTATAACATCAGAGAACTCACACAGGAGAGAAACACTGTGTTTAAGGAATGTGTTATAACATTCAGAGTGAACTCTGAAAATATTCAACAATTCATTCATGCCAAGTGTGCCTCCCTTTTAAAATAATGGAACAAACATTATTTAAGTTAAACTATCTATTCCTCTCCACATTATTACTTGACAGTATGTGTTCCCAGGTGTAAGGATCTAACCTTATTTCCTTCCAGGTCAACACCAATTGTTCCTATAACAATTGAGTAATTTACAATTTCCCAATTTATAGTGTTTTAAATTCTCAGATTAGACAGGTTGGTTTTTAACTCCATCTTCATAGTCTTCTAGTAACAGACTCCAATCCTTTTTTCTGCAGAGGTGGCAATTAAGAGGACTAACCATGGTACTCATCCCGCTGGTCCCACGGTGGGTATTCCAAAGATGAGCATTTGATAAAACTAAGCTAATGAAAGCTCTTCAGAAGACCTTTATAATGGGAGATAGTCATGGGTTAGCTAATATGTGATCTAGTAGCCAAGTCAAGAAAACAGCAAATGCAATAGGAAAAAAAATGCAGAGATACGCAGACTTGAGCAGCAATGAGAATTCTGACGGTGTTTGAAGCCAGGAAGTGTTTGTCTCCCTGGTGTTCGTATTCCCTCATATCCAGTCACCCCTGTGCTGTCAGTGGTTTGATTATGTCAACTAGTAGGTTTTCAAAATTTTTTGTATTTTCTAATAAACACGTGCATAGAAGTGTTCATTAGAATTCACTTATCAAATTCTGAGGGGAAAAGGCCTCTGTAATGCCAATTAGAATTACATCATATGTATATATGCAGTTAGGCAAGATTTCCCGTCTTATGGAAGGCAGGCATATGGGTCCTTCCATAAGAAGGTGAGATTTTTCCCATCAGATCCTGATTTCCATGGCTGGGATTTTTTCCCCTAAACCCATTCTCAGCCTCTTTACCACGTTATGCATTCTGCCCCAGGGAGGATGAGGTGGGTTTATCTAATTGGTAAAATTGGCATATGTATATATACATACACATGTATAAATGTATATGTATGTGTGTGTAAAGATGTATTTTATATATGAATATATATGTGTGTGTGTGTGTATGTACCAGTCTTGCTTTTTTCCTGTGAAGCTTATTTATAGTCACTTCAAAGCTTTGGTTGCTTTTGTCAGTGATATTTTATCTTTCACTTTAAAAATGTACTCTTTATTGATGGATTAAAAAAATAATTTTTGTATGAAATTTGTCTATATTTACCCCTCAGTTTTAATACTTTTTTGCTTGTTCTTGTAAAATTCACTGTTTATTATAAATGAAACTGGTGGATCGCTTTGTGTTTCTCCTCTACTTTTGTGTGCTAAAGGTCTGTATACTAGCTCTCTGTCCAGTGTGCCTTCTGCTTGCCCACTTTCTTCAGATTATGTGGCAAAACAGGACTCTGTCCACTACTGTATTGTTTTTCTTTATTGTTTTCATTTAATAGTATACAGATAGAAAAGCCATGTGTTGAGAAGACTTTTTTTCAAATCTGATGAGAAATGTAAATCCACAAATTCAAGAAATTCCGTGAACCCCAGGCAAGATAAAAACAAAACCACAAGGCACATCAAAATCAAATTTCAAGACACATAAAAAGCAAAACCAACTTAATAAAGAGAAAATCTTCAAAGTAGTCAAAGCAAAAAAAGACATTACATAGAGGGTCTGTTCGTTTTCTAGAGCTGCCATAACAAAGTACCACAAACTGGGTAGTTGAGAACAAAAGAAATCTCTGGTATCACAATTCTGAAGGCTAGAAGTCTGAGAAAATGGTGTTGGCAGGGCTAGGCTTCCTTGTGAGAGTGCTGGGGAAGAATCTGCTCCAGGCCTCTCTCCTACCGTCTCGTAGTTTTGTGGCTTTTGGCACTGTTCACATGGTGTTCTCATTGTGTGCATGTGCGTGTTCAAATTTCTCCTTTTTATAAAGATACTAGTCATATTGGATTAGGGGATCACTCCACTCCAGTATGACCTCATCTTAACTAATTACATCTACAACAATATATTTCCAAATAAGGTCACATCCTGAGGTAGAGGGGGTTAGGACTTCGACATGAATTTGGGGGGAGACAGAAGTCAACCCATAACACAGGGTAATGTATTAGTTATCTATTGCTGTGTAACAAAGTACCCCAAAACTTAGCAACATAAAGACATCAAGAAACATTGTCTCACTTCCTGAGGTTTAGGAATCTGGAAGTGACTTAGCTAGGTGGTTGTGGCTCAGAGTCTTTCACGAGTTTGCAATCAAGGTGTTGATCAGGGTGCAGTCATTTCAAGACTTGACTGGGGCTGAAGGATCCCCTTCCACAGTGGCTGTCTCACATGGCTATTAGCAAGAGGCCCCAGTTCCTCATCACGTGGACCTCACCACAGGGCTTCTTTACTACCCTCACAACATGGCAACAGCATCCCCCAGAGTGAGGGATCCAAGAGAGAGCAAGGCAGAAGCCCCCATAACCTAGCTTTGGAAGTCATAACTATCAAAATCCCTGTAGTGTGTTGGTCACACAGACCAACCTTGACACTGTGTGGGAGGGAACCACACAAAGGCATGAATACCAGGAGGCGGGCATTGCTGGGGACATCTCAGAGGCTAGCTACCACAGACGACCACAGTAAAAATGGAGTGGTTTCAAGGACTATGGGAGGAGACACACTGGAAACAGCAAAGACAAACAACTAACTCTTTCAAGGAGCTGTACTAAAGGTGCAAGACATGGCATGATAGCTCGAGGGAGAAGTGTCCTGTGGAAGGTAGAGCAGCTGCAGGCCTGTCCACTGGCCATGCCAACAAGCGGAGCCAGCAGATCAGGAACAACAGGTGAGAGCTACAGAAGACTTGCAGAGCATAAAAACAAAAGCTGCTATGGTCTGAATGTGACTCCCCCCCCCCCCAATTCACATGTTGCATCTTAACCTCCAAAGAGATGGTATCAAGAGCTGGGCCCATGGGAGGTGATTTGGGATTAGCGTTCTTTTAAAAGACCCCACAGAGATCCCTCTCCCCTTCTGCCGTGTGAGGACACAGTGGGAAGGCGCCAGCTCTGAATCAGGAAGAGAGCCTTCACCAGAAGGTGACCATGCTACTGCCATGATCTTGGACTTCCCAGCCTCCAGAACTGCAAGAAGTAAATTTTTGTGGTTTATAAGCTACCCAGTCTGTGGTGTTTTGTTACAGCTGCCCAAACAGACTAAGGGAACTGGTTCTTCACCTCCACCCTCCAGATTTCACACAAAAATGTCCTTTGTAGCCCAGTCTCTGGAAACATACAGGAAAAGAAATTCTGGGGAACATAGCTCAGCCAAGCCAAGTCGACACATTACAAAGTCACAACACTCCCCTGTCCCTTTCTCAGGGCTGGCGATGCTCGAGGCTTCCCACATTGCTAGCCCTAAGTGCCCCACCATCCATTTCCCCTACCCTGCTCACACTTTTGTAAAGAATCTCTTCATTCAATTTTCTTTCCTTCCTTTTGAATGCACAGTTTCCTAATAGGACTGATTCTGTAATTGGTACCAGAAGTGGCCCCAGGAAACAAAATGGAAATAATAGGATCCTGGCATGGTAGAGGCCAGGTGTCAGCATTAACCTTTGAGACAAAGTGGACACAGGGCTCATAACACGCCTTAGGGCAGTGTGGGAACCAGAGGGTTTTGGCCTGCTGGTGATGGCGAACTGATCAGGGAGACTGTAGCATGGAATTAGATGGGCAGCCTTCTAAGGTCTAGCTTGACATGTAAGTGAAAAATTTCTGGGTCTCCTGGACGGAAATCTGACTTCACTGTAGTGGGAATTCACAGCACTTTACTCAGTTCCCAGACCTAAGCCAATTCTTAGGCCCAAAGTGGCTTCAGGGAGGAGCTTTGAATAAGGGCCCTGCAATGCAGCCATCGGAGGACAGTGTGACTCTTCCTTCAAGCCTTCCCAGAGGGAACTGTGCTCCCTGATCAGCATGACTGAGCACTGGGGAAGGAATACTCAGATCCCCATGGGTAGTTAGATATTGGCTCCAATGAGATGCTAATTCTTCAAGTTCCCAAATACTGCGATGGCCCACAGTCAGAGTGGGGACTTACGAAGGTCAGAGATAGATAGAGTCTGAGCCTGAGTCCATTTCACAGAGGATTTGGTTCTGCCAGTAGAACCACAGGCCCATCCTGTGGTTATTCCTCTGTCCCAGAATGTGTAGTAGAGACAGACTGAGTAACTGGCAGAATCCCCATATTGGTTCCCTGACTGTGGAGGGATTATGTTCATACTCGTGCACCCCACAGTAACATAGCTTAAAAATTATCCAAATTTTGTTTTAGACACGTCCCCTCACCCCCCTGTAAATCTAATAGGCAGCCACTGATGTCATACAAATATCCAACATTGTTTATATGGTATATATATGGTATGCTGTGCACTTCAATTCTGCATTCTATGGAAGTCGAATTGTCTTCACAGAGATAATTTAATCTTTAATAAGGTTAAAACATTCATCCAATAGCAGTTACATATATATTACATATATAAGTCCATTATTTGCTTAAACAATGTCAATATCTTATGTGGTTTTAATATTAAAATCCAATTAGAAATAGAAAAAAATTTCACCTGAAACTTTTCAATGAGATTGTCTTAGCCTATCTTTTGTATAATGGCTATCCTTTAGCCTTTCTTTTTCATATAACTGGAGACTTACGGCTTAGAATTACGGCTTAGCCTAGGAAACATGGCAGCAGGTATAGAAAGGAGAATAATATATGTCAGGAAATTTTCATTGGGATCTAGGTTCCTACTGAGTCTATTGATGGCAAATCTGGAATACTAGACTTTTCAGAATAAGCTGTTCTAGTCTGTCC